ATTATTATCAGCAGTAAACACGTTTGAATGCTAATTAGGTAAGCTAGACAGGACTAATAATACAATCACTTAAAACCAATTATAGAGGAGGAAAAAATATATGTATATAGCTTTATCGTAAAATGTCTTATTTCTAATAATAGTTTCTAAATGTTTCTCATATAGTGCTCTTTAAGATGGTACTCACTTAAAAAAAGAATAAAAATAAATAAATAATTAAAAAAAGTTCATAATAAGATTTACTAAACTTGAATTAACTGTAATGTTCTTAAGATGCAGTTTAAATACTTAGAATGTTTGAAATGTCCTTAAGATGTGATTAATTTAAATGTTCTTGCAATGTTCACTGTGCAGCTTAATACCGCTTTCTGCATTCTAAGTAATACATCTTTGTATGTTGCTCCAAAGATATTCTTCATCTCAGGCTCCATCTCTATAGACCATCCTCCAAGAGCGTCCAAAATGAGGTTCACTTGCAAGATCGTGTATCCTGGGTGTTGTTTTGTTTTGTTATTATTATTATTATTATTATTATTATTATTATTATTGGTTCTCATCACTGTAGTCGTTGTTGCTGGTTGACTTTCTTACACTTGTCATGTGACAAACACACCAAAACAGAGAGATATTATTAACATATTATTACTACTGTGTGTAACACTGGCAGGAGACAGTGTAAGAACAACATGATGTCTTATCTTACTTTTTCGTCTCTTTCTTCTCGTGTTCTTTTCACACTTGTTCGTGAACCCAGGTATAGGGTATTTCTTGCCGTCGCCTGCTGTGAAGTCCTTCATTTTTCCCACACCAATCTTGCCTGTTATGTACATATCCTCGTTGTCGTTGCTTATCAAATTAGTGTCAGGGTACTGGCTTTGACCATCCCCTTTATACGCGATGATAAAATAATAACTAAAAATACAAAAGAAGGCAATTATTATCATCAGAGTAATAAACATGAAGTGAACTTCAAGCAATATCATAAACATGTTTCTCTGGAATAACTACTCCGCTGAATAAATATTTAATAATAATCTCTACACAGTGGAGACTGTTCGAGTTCAATCAAGTAACATAGACAGTATAGTAGAGATACAAAAAAAAAAAATGTACTGCAGGTTCTAGTCTAATAACATCAATATATCATCAATAATAAAAGTATTCATACCAGATTTTTTTCCCTTTGCTAGTGTAGGTAACGTCATGAACAGGAATGACAATCTGATTATTATCTTTATTTACCGAAGGGGTATTTAAAATCACTTTAGTATCTGTAGAAAGTAAAATTATAACAAGTATGAGTATCACAAAAAAAAAAAAATGTATGACCCTGCTCACGCGGCAGCCATCTTGTCTGAAACAATTGATTATTCATACAATTCCCAAGCGATTAGATTTTACTTTCTGTAGTCTAAAACACTACCAAGTATCAACACTATCGGCGGGGATTCATAGTTGCCAAATAATAGAGTCCATAGGTAATATAACTAGATGTTCCAAAATGTTACACCCGGTCAATGTATTGTATAAAAACCAACAAGTACTTACCTCTTGCTATTGGTGTCGCAAATGTGAACCAAAGGGACGACAGTTTTATTGAACCATTTTCTCTTATTTTTAGGGAATGTATGAAAAGAGATATTGGTGTTTTTGACTAGCAGCCACTGTTCTTGCAACTTTGTTGTTCGGGCTACTAGCCACACAATATTGACCAGCTCACTCGTTTATTTCTGTCCTTACTTACTTATATGTCGGTTTTCACGATACTACACGAGTTCTTACAGTGACTTAACGCGACTCATTTGGCCGTGCAAATGAGATGGGACCATGGGACCATGGGACCATGTTGATACTTCACTAAGTCGAATAAACCTGAACTACCTGGCAATTTCATTTGACATATATTCGTATATTTTTGGTGATGCCCATCGATATAATAATCAATTCAAAGTTTCCTATAAAAGCTATTTTGTTTTTCCCGACAATTACGTTAAAAAAGAAACGCTTCTCGATGTTTTATCGAAAAAAAGAAATTTATGACCAACAAATCTTCGCATGGTGCAAAAGTATCACTCTTTAAAAAACTTGATCCATGTAGTCACTCGAAGATATGTTATTAGAATATATCATCGCTCGAATATATCGTATCAGTGGAAATAACGCTGATGTTTTATGAGCAGAACATTATAATCACTCCCCTCGTTCAAACCCTAGTAATAAATACAAAGACATCTGCCGCTTACCATTAACAGTTACTTCGACCTTGGAGCTAATACTGCTGCCCTTAATACCATTGTTGCCAGAACACGTGTAATTTCCACCGTTTTGTCTTTGTACTTTCTTCACAGTCAGTCTTGTCTTGTCTCCACTCAAATCACTAGTTATATYCAGGTTATTTCTCTTCCATTCAAAGTTAGGTTTTGGTTTCCCGCCTCCACTGCATTGCAAGACAAGTTTTTCACCGATGTTCACAATTCCTCTACTCRATGGCTCTATTATTACAAGTGTTGTGTTCTCTGCTGGATCTGCAATGAAACAGGTCAGTAAATTGTTCTTAGTTCGCTTACTTCTTTTCAATAGACATACCACACATACACATAGCACAAATGTCTACACATGGATACAAAACAGGTTACCAAGTCCTCTTTCTTGCGCAATAGACGCAAAAACTAAGCAAATAACTTTCACCTCCCCTCCCCTCTTTTCTGAAATCTTCGTCACCCAACCTATCACGAGTAGTAAGCGACTTGTAACCGATTCATTACTAGTTACTATTGATAACGACTACTTACAATTGACAGTCAATGCTGCAGCAGTTGAATTCTTTTCACCATAACTGTTTTTCACGTTACATCTGTAACTACCCTTATCTGTTCTCTTCAAGCCATTGATCGTCAGATTAACAACCGTCTTGTCGTGTGTAGTGGGTTGAGGACTGACGTTCATCCTACTCGTCTCTAGAGTCAATGGGTTGTCGTTTATAAGCCAGGTTACTATGGGAGCAGGTTTGCCTTCCACTTCACATGTAAATGTGACCGAATCTCCTTCATTCTTTTTCTCGGATCGTGGATTAACAAATATATCTACGCCAACTGAAAGAAAGTAAAGGCTATTTTTACCTCTATTATATCATCATGATCACTTCGCACATCCCTGGCTGATAGACATTTTTAATCGACATGAAACCAGGCTAACCATGTGCCGTATCAAGCATTGTAAAGAGAAAAGCACTCTCTTTGCGTCCAACTCTTTTGATTCAATTTTGTTTATACTTATGAATTCCCCGGCTTGCTTACGTCACAAAGTCAACCTCGATTTTATAGTGCCGATTCTCAATTGCTGTTCGTACTCCGCGGGGAAGGGTCTTTTCAATACATCATTGATGCTGTGATCAAATTAATGTAAGATCCGTGTTGATTCTACATTTTACTGACAGACCCTGAATTACATAAGYAGGCAGGTTGTCCCTACTGATAGGGCCACCTCTATTGTTTCTGAGTTGTTCATCCAGCATTGTATAAAAGTAGTTCTTACAGATAAACTTACATAWCACYYTCAAGAAAGCAGAAACTGGTGAAGTTGCCGTCCCAATCWTGTTCTGTGCTCTGCATGTGTAKTTTCCCTGGTCAGATCTGTGTAAATCGGTTATTGTCAATGAWGCCGTGCCTTTCTCCACTGATGTTGTGCCACTTACATGATATTTCGTACCATCGGGAACTATATCTGTGTTATTAAACATCCATGTAACATTTGCTAATGGTTTGCCTTCTAAGGTACAGTTGAACGTCATGCTATGGTTCTCATGCTTGGTTTCATTCTGGGGTGARATGCTGAATATTCTCGGTGGATCTGAAGAAAATCGATTACACAAATATTAATAAGAACTAAGAAATTTTCTGCATAACGACATTCGGTGAACGAAAAAAAGGCGCGGACTTTTTAAAGCATTTTAATTTAACAAAGACAATTCAAAGTGATACAGCTTGTTAATCACAGTTTTGATGAATCTGTTTTCGGCACAAACACTGGAATAATATTGAATATCATGAAATGAATAAATAGTAAAATAAGAAACACAATTACTTACAGTTGACTGTCAGCAATGCTCCAGATGAGGTATCATTACCGACATCATTCAAAGCCTGACAGGAATAGTTGCCCTCGTCAGTACGGTTCACATTAGTAATAGCAATCGTAGCAGTTGTATTACTGACTGAGGAGGGTGGAGATACAGATATTCTGTTGTCATTAGCGGCTATGACTGGGTGACCATCTCTCAACCAGGTTACATTAGATACTGGTTTGCCTTCCAAGTAACACGTAAGGGATACATTGCTTCTCTCAACTACTGTCTTACTTGTTGGAGGGACTAAAATCTTTGGAGGGTCTGAAAGAAAGCAATATTAAGATAACGTCAAGATTTAGGTACCCAGAACATAAAAATGCAAATTTTACTAATGAATACTTACAGTTGACTGTCAGCAATGCTCCAGATGATGTATCATTACCGACATCATTCAAAGCCTGACAGGAATAGTAGCCCTCGTCAGTACGGCTCACATTGGTAATAGTAATCGAAGCACTTGTTTTATTGACTGAGGAGGGTAGTGTTACAGATACTCTGCTGTCATTAGCGGCTATTATTGGGTGACCATCTTTCAACCAGGTTACATTAGATACTGGTTTGCCTTCCAAGTAACACGTAAGGGATACATTGCTTCTCTCTACCACCGTTTTATTTGTTGGAGGAACCAATATCTTTGGAGGATCTGAGAAGAAAAGACAGAGAGGAAATTATAAGCTTAAACTTCGTGGGAACATGCAATGACTCACAGGCAGAAACTTCGCCAGAAGACTGAACAAAGTAAAAGCAACAACTGCAGCAAGTTTTGAGGCAAATTGTTGAGTGAAACATTTTATTTTCGTAACTTTATCATAACTCCCATACATTCCCTTATAAACCATACACAGAAACCTTGTTTGGGCTGCCTGTGAATGACTACGCAACCATAAGTAGTGAAACATGATACATAAAGTCGAAAAGTACCAAGGGGAGACTGCAATTGAGAAACTGACAAGGTGAAACTTAATGGTTCGGACACCACCATTCTACGCAAGATAGTAGTATCTGGGATGTTTCATTATTTAATGGATTTTTTTTTACGACAGCCAACACCTGGCCATTTGCTACTTAATTCAGTTGTTCTAAAGTCTTCGTTTTGTTGAAGAAACGAGAAGAGAAATAACCACTGTGGAACAATCACCATAGAATAAATACGAGTGCACGAGTGGTGTTTTCAGTACTCTAGCCTGATTCCAGCATTGAACTTGTACTAACATTTGAAATAAAGGATAAAGGATAAGACTTGGTGATCTTGGATGCGGGTGATGTTTACAAGAGATTATTATGTGAATGATATTAGCATAGGAAATAGCACAATCTTCTCGTACAATTAGGAATTTATAGGTACGAGTGATGAAAGGTTTGAAAATTGGGCAAGCTATTGAGCGAGTTCAATTTGAGAACTTTCAAAACATCACGAGCATCTATAAATTCCGAATTCTACGAGAAGATTGTGCGATTTATTGTTTATTATTATTATTATTTTTCTATTAAATTTAGCTTGTTCTTCTAATTATTATTGTCGTATATAATACACAATACAAACAAAACAAAAACAAAAACAAAAAGAATATATATTATTATTTTTGCACTGTAAAGACTCAAAAGAGAAACTTATC